ATCTTAAAACAATTTCAAAATTTTTGTGGAGAAATATGTACTTTGCAATTATGCTCCGCCCCTCCGTCTGACAACGAATAAAAAATTCATCACAACACGATAGTTAAATATGTTTTCAGTTTCTTATTGAAAAAAGAACACTTCGTTTATTAACATAACACCTTCAAAATATGAGCCCCGCCCACCCACCCCCTCTCAATTGTGACGATTTTTTTTATTCATCGTGAGCCGAGGGCGGAGCTTAGTTGCAAAATCTTCATTTCTCTATAAGAAATTACCATGTGAAATATGTTGTTGAAAGAGTAAAGTTTTCTAAAGAAATATGGATTTTGCAATTCAACTCCGCCCCTCGGTGAGACAACGAATAAAAAAAAAATCATTACAACCGAGATAGGGTGGGTGGGTGGGGCATATATTTTGTCTTTTGTTCTTAATTACGTAGTCTTCTTTTGATAACAAGAAACTTGAAATATATTCAAAATTTTTGTAAGGCAATATGTAATTTGCATTTAGGATCCGCCCCTCGGTCTGACAACGAATAAAAAATTCATCACATTTGAGATCAGGACCTTCTTTTAGTTACATAGAGTTTTCTTTGAACAACATAAAAGTTAAATATGTTTTCAGTTTCTTGTTGGGAAAAGAAGACTTGGTATATTAAGAAAAAATGTACAAAATATAAGCCCCGCCCACCCACCCGCTCGCAATTGTGATGATTCTTTTATTAAAAAATCCTCATTTCCCTACAAAAAAAATTACCATGTGAAATATGTTCTTAAAAGGGTAAAATTTTGTAGAGAAATATGGATTTTGCAAATACGCCCTGCCCCTCGGTCTGACAATGAATAAAAAAAATCTTTACAATTGAGACAGGGTGGGTGGGTGGGGCTTATATTTTTTCCTTTTTTCTTAACATAAGTAGTCTTTTCACAACAAGAAACTTAAAACATGTTCAAAATTTTTGAAAACAAGTATGTATTTTACAATTACGCTGCGACGCTCAGTCTGACAACGAATATAAAATTCATCATAATTGAGATCGGGACTTTTTTTAGTTACATATGGTTTTCTTTGAATAACGCTAGTTAAATGTATTTTCAGTTTCTTGTTGGGAAAAGAAGACTTTGTATGTTAAGAAAGAATCTACAAAATATAAGCCCCGCCCACCCACCCCTCCCAATTGTGATGATTTTTTTATTCATCGTGAGCAGAGAGTCAGTTTTTTGTTGCAAAATCTTCGTTTCTCCACAAGAAATTACCATGTGAAATATGTTCTTAAAAGGGTAACATTTTGTAGAGACATATCGATTTTGCATAAGCTCTGCCCCTCGGTCCGACAACGAATAAACAAATCATTACAAATGAGATAGGGTGGGTGGGTGGGTTGGGGCCTATATTTTGTATTTTCTCCTTAATATATGTAGTCTTCTTGTCAGAACAAAAAACTTAAAACATGTTTAAAATTTTTGTAGGGAAATATGAATTTTGCAGTTACGCTGCGCCCCTCGGTCTGACAATGAATAAAAAAATCTTTACAATTGAGACAGGGTGGGTAGGTGGGGCTTATATTTTACCTTTTCTTCTAAATATACATAGTTTTGTTTTCACAACAAGAAACTTAAAACATGTTCAAAATTTTCGTAGAGAAATATGTATTTTGCAATTACGCTCCGCCGCTCGGTCTGACAACGAATAAAAAAATTATCACAATTGAAATCGGGATTTTTTTAGTTACATATAGTTTTATTGGAACAACACGATAGTTAAATATGTTTTTAGTTGCTTGTTGGAACAAGAAGATTTCGTGTATTAAAAAAAAATGTACAAAATATAAGCCCCGCCCACCCACCCGTTCTCAATTGTGATGATTTTTTTATTCATCGTGAGCCGAGAGGCAAAATCCTCATTTCTCTACATTTTTTCATCCTGAGCAAGAACCCATTTCAAGGTTGAAGGTTTCAAAAACCCTACGAAGATTTAATGAACTGGAAGTGTTAAAAAGCACCCAAAACCTGGCAGGCCAATTCTTCATGATCTTTGGAAGTCCTATTTTATTACATCGAGACTACTACTTTCTCCATGACTTCCATTCTCACTATTTGTTGGTTGTTATTGTCTTTATGCGACATTTTTGTCCATCCAGAGGACTCCTGCTTCAATGACTTATTGACCTGTCCACCCTACTTACAACTCCTTCCATAATATACAAATAATATGTCCACAGTTTTCTTAACCTTGGTATAAAACCCATCACAGTGACAATACTTCCTCAGAATCGAATTGTTAACGCAAGCACTCGTATTCCCGTACCTGTCCACCCTGCTTATGATCCCCTGCAAGGTAAACAACGGAATATAATTCTGATACGAGATACTAACAGTCGTTTCGAATACAACCTTCGGAAACGTCTCAAACACTATCAGCAAATAATTCACAGATTCGTCTTTCTTGTTATAGAAAGTCTCCGTAATCCCCGACGAGATAATATGCTTCAGATCATAGTTAGCACACATCCTCGGTCCATCCCGGAACGAATTTATCGTACTCCTCAGCTTATCCAACGCAAAATACGTCGCCTTCTTCACGATTTGCGAATTAGGATCAATATAAACGTGTCCATGCACCTACACAAATGTTGCGAAATGGCGGCGTCGTCGCACGATCTATTTTCACTAATTCTTTGGAAGAGCGATCTACATTTAGGGCACGCCAAGCTAGACTGGACCTCGTACGTGCTATCCGACCGCTGCAAAATATCCTGGAGGGTCATGTAGAGGTCATAGGGCGTCGTCAGCTTGAAGGCGTTGCACATCAAGTTGTTGTAGCTCTCGGGGTACTTCGCCCGAAACGACTTAGGTACCCAAATGTGGATGAAGGGCAGCCGCTCCTCCAACCACCCACTATAAGTATACCGGATCTTCCCGAACCTGAACCCATGGTCGCTGAAAAACACCACGACGGTGTTCTCCGAAACTTTGCTCTTCATCAAGTACGACAGAAAGTTCTCGAAAACGTCGTCCATCCCGGACGCTGTGTTGATGTTGTTGTGGCTGAAGGTGTTCATCCAGAAGAGGCCGAATTTGAGTTTGTCTGAAAACACGTCGACGAAGTCTTTGATCAAGTCGAGGATGCGTTCGCCGGAGGTTTATGGACCCGTGCAGTACGAAGCTAGATAATGCGTCACGACGTTGAGAGTCTCAGCTGCCAGGAAATACGGCCGAAAGTAGAAATCTGTAGGAGTATTATTGAAACCCTTCATGAGAAAACTGAAAGTGTTCAAGTGGCTTTCGTCTTCGGCGTACGCGGTCACGTAGTCGCGCTGACGGAACCTCTTCCAGATAATATCACAGTCGTCGAGATAGTTCTTCTCGGGATTGCAGATAGTGTGGATTTGGGATAGGTTCATCCCGCTTAGAATCGCCATCAAATTGGGGAAGGTGTTGTCGTCGATTTTGTTGTACCCCCGCAAGTTAATCCAGCCGGTGTTTTCCAACAATCTGTATGTTTTAGGCATAGTTAGGATTAAATTTAGCTGGGACATAGTGTCGATTCCGACTAGTAGCACGCTGTAGTCGCCCCCGGAGGGTCTTTTATATAGGGTTTCTTCGTTCTCTTTGATGATACTGTGCACGTTGGAATGTACTTCGTCGTAGTCAGTTTTGCAGGTGACTTTGACCATGTCCGAGGAGATTTTGCAGCTCGAATGAAAGGTGTGCACTCTGAAAAGCTACATAAAGGTACATTAAACACGACAAACGTCTTCATTTACCTAATTGTGTTGTCAACATCATCGTCATCGTCGTCCCCTCGGGTCACGTTAGAATAGCAACAAGAAATAGGGTAAGGACTGTAGGCATCCAACAACGAATAGTTCAATTTAAGGAAAATTTCGTCGTCCCGTCTTTCGATGTACGTTAAAAGATTTAAAATCCGACAATGCACGTAGTCTTGCTTCTGGTAATAAGGCCAGACGTCGCTATTCAAAGGATCGATGTCAGGAATTTTGCAATTACTAGTGTCCACCAGATATTTACTCAAATCTGAAAATTAATATGACCCACCTGAAGTACGAAAAACGTATTATCAGTGTAGATTTTGCAACCAGATGGTGGACATCTGCGTTACTCATCTCTGGTGAAAAAACTAGTAAACACAGTCAGAAAGCAGTACCTGTGTAGGCACCCCCATTATCCACCTTCTTGAAAAGAATGATTCCATTTTCGTTCTTGATGTAGTTTTCGTAGTAGCCGAAAAGTATCATGATGTTTGGTATCAGACATATTAGAAAATACTTGTGTTTTAACAAAAAATGCGGTTCCATTTAAACTTTGAGAGCACACATGAATCACTTAAATCTTTGCAACTTGACGCTAAATCATAGCTCTTTGGTCACGCCCGTTCCAACAATCTCCTCCCTATATTTGAGAAGATTTTGGCCGTCCGAATAAAAAATATTTACCTAATGGAATCAAGATCGATATATTTTTTTAAAAAAGGAGGTTAAAACCACCACTTCCACACCATAGCGAAATACAGCCAAGCGTACATCAACCTCTCACCAAACTCCAAACAAACCCAAAAACTCTCTGAAAAGGATTTCCTCATCCTGCCTCGACAAAGTTCAAGTTCGCGTCATACCCCAATTACTCCGCATCAATCAACTCAAAAAGTGAAAGTTGTGGTGACACTGCAAATACCTCATAATTAAACAAAAATCATACGCTTTGCGTAGACTTAACTGTGCCACAATTTAATTGACACTCGAATTATTTTTTAAGCGTAGATACGCGACTCTTTGAAGTGGGGAGATCACTCTCTCTGCCGTTTCAGGGAAACGAAAAAGTGAAATGTCGTAAAGTTTTCAGTTTCATTAAAACCGTCCTAGTAAACAGCAAAAAACACGCGTGATGGTGGCATGCTTAATCATGCAGGTGTTAATTGTTGATCGAAGGTTCAATTACACGAAAAAAATGTGATAATGACGCGAGTGCAAAGGTCGGAGGATAACTGCAGTGACTGTGCAATGTCTTGAGTAACCATGCACTTCTTGAAGAGTTTTGTCGTTTTTTTGCTGTGTGGATGCATCCAGGGTGAGTGGATTTATCAAAATTCGTTCGTAGGTTACGAGACACAAAGACTCGTCGGACATAATAGTCCATTATTCGAAATTTAACCCGCTGTAATTAATTATTATGCATTCCTTCAAGGATTAGTTTGTTCAGGACGACTAGTTAAATTATAGATTTTTCGTCCTGTTTGAGTCTGCACAACTGTGGAGAATTCCACTGAAAATAATCAGATTGTCTCGAGATTCAAAAGTAAACACAACTTACTTAATGACATTGTGTTTTTACGGTCGAGTACACTGAAAAACTAGCGACTTTGTTACAATACAATGTGTAACGTGCATTCATTATGATCTTTAAAGTGAAATTGTAAAAATTTTATTTTCTCCGCGAATTAAATAAAATGAGATGTTTGTTTTATAATTTTGCGGCGCGGTCGATATGAACTTACTGGATCGTGGACATGTTACGCTTGAAACTTGTTTTGAAATAAAAGAAATAATCCAGCGCGATCTCCAGATTTAACACCATTTGATTTGTTTTGCTTCTGTTATTATTAAAACACGTGGGTGTACTTAAGCAAATCTTTGTTTATACGGTGTGTAATATACGTTTCAGATAGCTCCACACGAAATTATCCCTTTCATAGAAACTTATGGACATCGATAACACCTCGAGGGAAATTTCAAGATTTCCATAATGTTACTATTTACTTGGGTTATTCCAACAATCCATTTGGTGTTTCAACACCCTCCGTGCCTTACAATAAGCAAGGACTGTAAGTTGACTTAACTCTGTCTTTGAAAAACTAAAAAAAAATCACCCTGTAGTTTCCCACATCGAGCTATTAAGTAACCGGTTAATTAACTGCGTTATTGTTACGAATCTTTACGCAATTCTTATATCAGTGCAAATACCTCTTAAGTAACACTTAAACTACCAATACACTTCACACCTTTGTACTAAATTACGCACACTGTGAAACTAAAACCCATTTTCAAATTTCCTTGGTAGGTACTTTCACACGTTGTATAATTTTCAGGCACACTGTGTGAACATTACGAAACTGATAATTTATGCATCATTTCTTTTACAATAACACATAAATTCCTCTAAATAATGGGTGTATTGTGGGTTGCGGCATCTTCAAGTCGTTTTGATTCATTTCCAGGTTGACGCAAGAAGTCCTACGCTCCCGCCAACCCCCGCACTCCGAAACTCCTCTTTTCAGCGACCTGAAGCCACCCTCAGATAACAAAATTGATTCACAGTTTAACACCCCCCAGGAACAGAGGTCCAAACGTGGCGTAATCCATCTATATAATATGGTTAGTTGTGCCACAGGATGTAATCCGCTAATTTACAAGGGATACGGCTGCTATTGTGGTTTCTTGGGATCAGGATATGCAGTGGACGGGATTGACAGGTCCGGACACACACATTTTGTACGATTAAACTAAGTACTTAGGAATTATTAATTAATTTCAACTTTATTATTTAAACATTTTACTTCCTGTCTGTCTGTCTGTAATCACAAAATAACATACTCTTACACACGTAAGTTATGAATCCGTGCTGATTTTTTTTTTAATTCGAGAATACAATTCTGCACCTATTCAAAATTATATTATTATGTTGCAAAAATGTTGATGACGTCATCACAAAATTTTGTAAAGGAAACGCTCACTTGAAACATAAATATAGCATGCTTCTTTATCTTATAGGGGTTATATATAATTTTTCGAAAAGCTGGATTTGTTGTAGTGTACTCCTGGGGCGAGGGAAGTTCTGTCTAATCTGTTTAATGAATCAATCTTTCCTTTATCAATTTTTCCAATTTCTCGATTTTTCATTTTTTAAATGTTTTTTTTTGGTTTCAAAATTTTTAGATTTTCAAATAGTTATAATTATACAGATTTTTCACTTTTTTAGTTTTTCAAATTAATTATGTTTCAGTTTTACGATTTTGTAATTTTTTTTATTTTAACATTTTTCGAATTTTACAAATTTACAATTTTTTGGGTTTCAAGTTACAAGTTTTTGATTTATATTTTTCAATTGTCCGATTTTTCAGTTAATAATTTCGAGGACTTCAAAAATCCTCCAGTTTTTCATTTCATTTTGACAGTTTAATAAATTTTCGAATTTACGTTTATGCAATTTTGTAATATTACAATTTTTCAATTTTTTTATTTTAATCGTTCGAAATTTCAATTTTAATCTTTCAGGCTTTTGATTTTCCAGTATCCGACTTTTAGTCGATTTTACACTTTTTTGACTTGTTAATTTTCCATTTTTACAATTTTTTGATCTCAATTATTCGATTTTTGATTAATCATTTTGTCAATTTTCCATTTTATCATTTTTCCTTTTTTAAATTTATTAATTTTTCAAAGTTTCGATCTTCAATTTTTTTATTTTACAAATATGATTTTTAATTTTCATGATGTGTTTTCCTATTTTAACAGTTTTCGAATTCTACAAATTTTCAATTTTTCAAGTTTTTGATTTCTCGTTTTCATGATTTTGCAGTTTTTCGATTTTTTAATTATGTAATTTTTCTATTTTACAATTGTCTGAATTTTTTACTTCTTCAACTTTAAAATTATACAAATTTTCAGTTTGTAGTTCTTTTTTTGATTTTTCAGTTTTATATTTCTACAATTTTTCGATTCCTCAATCGTCCAATTTTTAATAAATCAGTTATTTTCAATTAACAGATTTTTTTTAGATTTAGAATTTCATTGTTTCGATTTTCCAATTTTTGATTTTGAATTTTTCAAAATTTCGATCTCCATTTTTTTATTTTACAATTATCAAATTTTTAACTTTTTTGATTCTTCAAATTATTGTTCAAAATCTTAATTTTTCAAGTTTTGGACTTTTTATTTTAATTCTTTTGCAGTTTTTTGATTTTTCAATTTCATATTTTTACAATTTTTCGAGATCTCAGTCGTCCAACTTTTAATGAATCAGTTTTTCAATTAATAGATTTTTTTTAATTTAGAATTTAATTGTTTCGATTTCCCAATTTTTGATTTTTAATTTTTCAAAATTTTCATTTTCAATTTTTTTTTTTTTATTTTACAATTATCAAATTATTAACATAATGATGTTTCAGTTTTACGATTGTTTTATTTTTCTATTTTACCACTTTCGATTTTCAATTTTTTATTTTTTGGGTATCGGTTGGTTAAAATTTCAATTTTAATTTTTCAAGTTTTTTATTTTTCATTTTCATGATTTTGCAGTTTTTCGATTTTTTAATTTTGTAGTTTTTCTATTTTACAATTATCGGATTTTTTAATTGTTCAACGTTAAAATTATACAAATTTTCAGTTTGTACTTTTTTTTTTGATTTTTCCGTTTTATATTTCTACAATTTTTCGATTTCTCAATCAGTTTTTCAATTTTTTGGTGTGGGAATTCTTTGATTTTTCGTTTTTCAATTGTCGAATTTTTCAGTTTAATCATTTTTTCAATTCATCGATTTTACACTTTTTTGACTTCACACTTTTTGGAACTCAATTATTCGATTTTTAATTTGTCAGTTTCTCGATTTTCAATTTTAAATTTTTGTTTTTCAACTGTAATTTTGTTTTTCAACTGTAATTTTATTTTTCTATTTTCCGAATTTCATTGTTTCTATTTTCCAATTTTTGATTTTGAATTTTTAAAAATTTCGATCTCCATTTTTTTTTTTATTTTACAATTGTCAAATTTTTAACTTTTTTGATTCTTCAACTTAATGATATTTCAGTTTTACAATTATGTAATATTTTGATTCTACCGCTTTCTGAATTTTACAAATCTTCAGTTTTTTGTCTCAGTTGGTCAAAATCTCAATTTTAATTTTTCATGTTTTGGATTTTTTATTTTCATTATTTTGTAGTTTTTTGATTTTTCAATTTTGTCAATTTTAAAATAATACAGTTTTTCACTATTGTAATTCTGCATTTTTTTGATTTTTCAGTTTCATATTTCAACAATTTTTCGATTTCTCAATCGTCCAACTTTTAAGGAATCAGTTTTGCGATTAATAGATTTTTTAGATCTAGAATTTCATTGTTTCGATTTTCCAATTTTTGATTTTTAATTTTTCAAAATTTCCATTTTCATTTTTTTTTTCTTTTACAATTATCAGATTTTTAAGGTAATGATATTTCAGTTTTACAATTATGTAATTTTTCGATTTTCCAATTTTCAAATTTTTAATTTTCTTTTTTTTGGGTCTCACTTGTTTAAAATTTCAATTTTAAATTTTTATTTTCATTATTTTGAAGTTTTTTGTTTTTTTTATTTTCTAATTTTGCAATTTTTTGACTTTTCAATTTTATACTTCTACAATCTTTTGATTTCTCAATCGTCCAATTTTTTCAATTAATAGATTTTTCAATTTTTCGGTTTGAGAATTTTTGATTTTTCATTTTTCAATTGTTGGATTTTTGAATTTAATAGTTTTTTCAGTTATTCGAACTTCACACTTTCTTTTTTGAATTGTTAATTTTACTTCTTTACAATTTTTGGATCTTAAGTATTTAATTTTTAATTAATCAGTTTCTCAATTTTCAAGTTTATTGAATTTTTATTTCTTTTTTTTCAATTATAATTTGATTATTCTATTATCCGAATTTTATTGTTTTGATTTTCCAATTTTTGACTTTTAATTTTTCAAAATTTCGATGTTTATTTTTTTTTATTTTACAATTATCAACTTTTAACGTAATGATGTTTCAGTTTTACGATTATGTAATTTTTGGATTTTTCCATTTTTCGAATTTTTTAATTTTCAATTTTTTGTGTCTCAGATTGTCAACATTTCAATTCTAATTATTCAAGTTTTTGATTTTTTATTTTTTTATTTTGTAGTTTTTTCATTTTTCAATTTTGTAATTTTTCTGTTTTATAATTGTCCGATTTTTCAATTTTTCAATTTTAAAATAATACGATGTTTAGTATTGTAATTTTGCATTTTTCTGATTTTTCAGTTTCATATATCTACAATTTCTCGACTTCTCAATCGTCCAACTTTTAATGAAATCAGTTTTTCAATTAATAGATTTTTTTTAGATCTAGAGTTTCATTGTTTCGATTTGTAATTTTTCAAAATTTCCATTTTCAATTTTTTTTTTACAATTATCAAATTTTTAAAGTAATGATATTTCAGTTTTACGATTATGTAATTTTTCGATTTTCCATTTTTCGAATTTTTTAATTTTCTATTTTTTGGTCTCAGTTGATTAAAATTTCAATTTTAATTTTTCAAGTTTTTGATGTTTCATTTTCATTATTTTGAACTTTTTCGATTATTTTATTTTGTAATTTTGCGATTTTTTGACTTTTCAATTTTATATTTCTACAATCTTTCGATTTCTCAATCGTGCAATTTTTAATGAATCAGTTTTTCAATTAATAGATTTTTCAATTTTTCGGTTTGAGAATTCTTTGATTTTTCATTTTTCAATTGTTGGATTTTTGAATTTAATAGTTTTTTGAGTTATTCGAACTTTACACTTTTTTGAAATGTTAATTTTACTTCTTTACAATTTTGGGATCTCAAATGTTTGATTTTAATTAATCAGTTTTTCAATTTTCAAGTTGATCATTCTTCGTTTTTTGAATTTTTATTTATATTTTTCAATCATAATTTGATTATTCTATTATCCGAATTTCATTGTTTCGATTTTCCAAATTTTGATGTTTAATAATTCAAAATTTCCGTCTTAATTTTTTTTTATTTTACAATTATCAAACTTTTAACGTGATGATGTTTCAGATTTACAATTACTTAATTTTGGATTTTACCTCTTTTTGAATTTTTTTATTTTCCATATTTTTTCCTTTTTTAAATTTTTGATTGTTTTTCAATTATCATTTGATTTTTCTATATCCGAATTTCATTGTTTTCATTTTCCAACTTTTGTATTTTAATTTTTCAAAATTTCGACCTTCAATTTTTTTTATTTTATCAGATTTTTTTTTTGATTTTTCATCTTAATGATATATTTTTCGACTTTAACAGTTTTCGAATTCTACAAATTTTCAATTTTTTGGATCTCAGTTGGTCAAAATTTCAATTTTAATTTTTCATTTTCATTTTATTTGAAGTCTTTCAATTAATAGATTTTTCAGTTTTTCGGTTTGAGAACTCTTCCGATTTTTCATTTTTCAACTATTCGATTTTATACTTTTTTGAATCGTCAATTTTACGTTAAGATCTCAATTGTTCGATTTTTAATAAATCAGTTTCTCAATTTTCAATTTTAGCATTTTTCGTGTTTAAATTTTTTGTTGTTTCAATTATCATTAGATTTTTCTATTATCCAAATTTCATTGTTCGGATTTTTCAATTTTTGATTTTTAATTTTTTCAAAATTTCGATCTTTAATTTTTTTTATTATTATCAATTTTATAATATTTTTTTTTCAACTTTACAATTTTTCAATTGTTTGGGTCTCATTAAAATCGGTCAAAATTTCAACTTTAATTTTTCAAGGTTTTGAAATTTCATTTTTATTATTTTGCAATTTTTCGATTTTTCGATTTCGTATTTTTTCTGTTTTACAATTGCTTGAATTTTCCACTTTTCAAGTTTAAAATTATACGATTTGTCAGTTTTGTAATTCTGCAATTTTTTGATTTCTCAGTTTTGTATTTCTACCTTTTTCGATTTCTCAATCGTCCGATTTTTAACGAATCTGTTTTTCAATTTATCATTCTTCGTTTTTAAAATGTTTGTGTTTTTCAATTATAATTTGATTATTCTACAATCCGAATTTCATTGTTTCAATTTCCCAGTTTTTGATTTTTAATTTTTCAAAATTTCGAGCATCAATTATTTTTATTTTACAATTATCTGATTTTTCAGTTTTCGATTTTAAAATTATTCGATTTTCAATTTTATATTGATGCGATTTTTCAAATTTACAGTTTAATAATTTTTCGATCTTACAGTTATTCAATTTTTTAATTTTGTAACTTTTTGAATTTTCAGTTCTTAATTTTTCATTTACCAGATTGTCCAATTTATCGATTTTTCTCAAAATTTTTTAAATATCCGAGTTTCCAAATTTCTCGGTCGTAGACAAACACAAAAAAATTATAGCGTGTCAAAACTAATTTTTACGATTTTTCAAAAAAGCAATTTCAAAAGCGAACAATTTGATGATGATTTGAGATGGAAGAACTGTTCCAGGTGTTGCAAGAACCACGACTGGTGTTATGACCGTGCCAATTGCCCTATGTTTTTGGAGTATTTCGTGCCGTATTATTGGAAATGTTTTGACAATAGACCATACTGCGGTGAATCTTCCCGTTTTCTTTTTTTTTTAATATATAAAATGAGGATATTTTTTAGCTATTCCACCGGATCAAATAGGAGGCCCAGGATCTTGTGCCCAGCGTCTGTGTGAATGCGACAAGCTTCTGTCAGAGTGCCTCAGTAAATACCCTTGTCCTTCCAAAAGGGCTGTGTGTAGGTCGTCCCCTTGGAGACTCATTCAAAATGCGTTTATGGGATTCTAGATTTATTTGAAAGCGGCGTTTCAAATAGCGTTGTAAATAATATTATACTTTATAATAAAGTGTACCTTTAACATTTATATTAATTTTATTAATCCTTAAACACATCAGCCTTCTCCGCCACTGGGAGTGAACTCGTTGATCAGCTCAGTTGGCTTATGCAACCCGTAATACAAGCGTGCTTTGTTGGTTGCAGAAGCACTTTTAAAAATTTTTTTAGTGATCTGACGTATAGCAACATAAAGTGTGACTGGAAATTAAAGTTTGACTGCTATTTTTTTTTATAAAAATTTAATTATTAAATAATATGTCTACAGTTTTCTTAACCTTGGTATAAAACCCATCACAGTGACAATACTTTCTCAAAATTGGATTGTTGACGCAAGCACTCGTATTCCCGTACCTGTCCACCCTGCTTATGATCCCCTGTAAGGTAAACAACGGGATATAATTCTGATACGAGATACTAACAGTCGCTTCGAATACAGCCTTCGGAAACGTCTCAAACACTATCAGCAAATAGTTCACAGATTCGTCTTTCTTGTTATAGAAAGTCTCCGTAATCCCCGACGAGATAATATGCTTCAGATCATAGTTAGCACACATCCTCGGCCCATCCACGAACGAATTTATCGTACTCCTCAACTTATCCAACGCAAAATACGTCGCCTTCTTCACGATTTGCGAATTAGGATCAATATAAACGTGTCCCATGCACGTACACAGATGTTGCGAAATGGCGGCGTCGTCGCACGATCTATTTTCACTAATTCTTTGGAAGAGCGATCTACATTTAGGGCACGCCAAGCTAGACTGGACCTGGTAAGTGCTGTCCGACCGCTGCAAAATATCTTGGAGGGTCATGTAGAGATCATACGGTGTCGTCAGCTTGAAGGCGTTGAACATCAAGTTGTTGTAGCTCTCGGGGTACTTCGCCCGAAACGACTTAGGTACCCAGAGGTGGATGAAGGGCAGCCGCTCCTCCAACCACCCACTATAAGTATACCGGATCTTCCCGAACCTGAACCCATGGTCGCTGAAAAACACCAGGACGGTGTTTTCCGAAACTTTGCTCTTCATCAAGTACGACAGAAACTTCTCGAAAACGTCGTCCATCCCGGACGCCGTGTTGATGTTGTTGTGGCTGAAGGTGTTCATCCAGAAGAGGCCGAATTTGAGTTTGTCTGAAAACACGTCGACGAAGTCTTTGATCAAGTCGAGGATGCGTTCGCCGGAGGTTTCTGGACCCGTGCAGTACGAAGCTAGATAATGCGTCACGACGTTGAGAGTCTCAGCTGCCAGGAAATACGGCCGGAAGTAGAAATCTGTAGGAGTATTATTGAAACCCTTCATGAGAAAACTGAAAGTGTTCAAGTGGCTTTCGTCTTCGGCGTACGCGGTCACGTAGTTGCGCTGACGGAACCTCTTCCAGATAATATCACAATCGTCGAGATAGTTCTTCTCGGGATTGCAGATAGTGTGGATTTGGGATAGGTTCATCCCGCTTAGAATCGCCATCAAATTCGGGAAAGTGTTGTCGTCGATTTTGTTGTACCCCCGCAAGTTAATCCAACCGGTGTTTTCCAACAATCTGTACGTTTTAGGCATAGTTCGGATTAAATTTAGCTGGGACATAGTGTCGATTCCGACTAGTAGTACGCTGTAGTCGCCCCCGGAGGGTCTTTTATATAGGGTTTCTTCGTTCTCTTTGATGATACTATGCACGTTGGAATATACTTCGTCGTAGTCAGTTTTGCAGGTGACTTTGATCATGTCCGAGGAGATTTTGGCAGCTCGAATGAAGGGTGTGCACTCTGAAAAGCTACACAAAGGTACATTAAACACGACAAACGTCTTCATTTACCTAATTGTGTTGTCAACATCATCGTCATCGTCGTCCCCTCGGGTCACGTTAGAATAGCAACAAGAAATAGGGTAAGGACTGTAGGCATCCAACAACGAATAGTTCAATTTAAGGAAAATTTCATCGTCCCGTCTTTCGATGTACGTTAAAAGGTTTAAAGTCCGACAATGCACGTAGTCTTGCTTCTGGTAATAAGGCCAGACGTCACTATTCAAAGGATCGATGTCAGGAATTTTGCAATTACTAGTGTCCACCAGATATTTACTCAAATCTGAAAATTAACATGACCCACCTGAAGTACGAAAAACGTATTATCAGTGTAGATTTTGCAACCAGATGGTGGACATCTGCGTTACTCATCTCTGGTAAAAAAAACTAGTAAACACAGTCAGAAAGCAGTACCTGTGTAGGCACCCCCATTATCCACCTTCTTGAAAAGAATGATTCCATTTTCGTTCTTGATGTAGTTTTCGTAGTAGCCGAAAAGTATCATGATGTTTGGTATCAGACATATTAGAAAATACTTGTGTTTTAACAAAAAATGCGGTTCCATTTAAACTTTGAGAGCACACATGAATCACTTAAATCTTTGCAACTTGACGCTAAATCATAGCGCTGGCGTAAGTAACTTTTATCAAAATCTCGTAACCAAAAATGTGTTATCAGTGAGGTGTTCCCCATGTAGTGATAACGTATCAGTGATTCTACCTAAACGCTTGAGCTCATTTTTTCAATTTGTCATAGGTAAGAGTTGTTTAATCATGCATTGTCAGAGATAAAAGTGATAATGAGGAAGAGTCGACCCTCATGTTAAAAAAATCTGGATGAACGTTATCAATTATTTAATATTAGAGAAAAACAAACATAATAAAAATGAGAAAGCAGGTCATTCTCGTGACTAGTATCTCACAACATAGGAATACGGGAATCACCACAAGTCGTAAACACGGGTATAAAAATCTCATAAAGCAGTGTCTTTCTTTATTCAGTACCGGTTTCGCATTCTCGTAACAGACGATATGAAGCTTTGCACTACTTTGAGCGTACTAATGTGTCTGGTACTCTTGGCCTTGGCCAAGCCGCCGTCGCAACCAGAAGGTAACAATATCAAAATTTTGATCTACTAGTAATGACAGTTTTTCCAGAATCGAATTCCAAGTGTACCCGTCCAAACGAGTACCACACTTGTGGAAGTGCCTGTCAGACGGAATGTGCCACTCTTGGCCAAATTTGTCCCATAGTTAACAAAAAATGCCATCTTTCTTGTTACTGCGTCGATGGTTATGCTAGAAATGAGAAAGGTGATTGCATTCCGCAGTCAGAATGCAAGCAATGAGTACTTTTGTGTAAATTATTCTAAGAAGCGATAAAGCAATAAACTTAAAACCTTTATTATCAGTTTTATTATCAACCTTCACATTTTTTGTTATTCCCAGAACTTATTTAGAACTAATCAATCAGTTATCAGACAGTTGTAAGTACTTTTAAAACGCCTGCTTGTCCTGTATAAAATCAAACACAATTCAAAACATTACATATCGCACTCTTAATTGACATGAAAAGTCCATCACAGTAGCAATATTTCTTCAAAGAATCGTTAATACATTTGCTATTGCCACCATATTTATTTATACGACTAATTTCCCCCAACAAACGAAATCTAGACAAGATATGTGGCTGCGACGCAACTTCTACCGTCGCTTCGAACATCGCCGGAGGTCTCGTCTCTAGCATAATCAACATATAATGCACCGTTTGATTATTCTCGTTTAAGTACGACTCGGACATCCCCGAAGAGACGATCTTCTTCAAGTTGTAGAAAGCACACTTATGTCCGCTCTCCGAGGCCTGAATCAAAGAGTTAACCTCGAAAACTATATACTGAGCGGTATCGACGACGATCTGGGTGCTCGGATTCACGTACGAGTGTCCAGAACACAAGCACCAGTGTTGTTCAATAGCACCATCTTTGCAAGTACGAGCTTCGTCCACCTCCCGGAACAACGAGTGGCATTTGGGGCACGCCAGACTCGGCTGGACTTCGTAACTGTGGTTAGTAAACGCCAAAATATCCTGTAGTGTCATGTAAAGATCGAACGGAGTCGTCAACCTCTTTGTATTAGTAAGAAAGTTACTAACTTCTTTGGGGTGATGCTGCTTCAGTGTTTTCGGTAGATGGACGTAGATGAAGGGTAGACGCTCCTCCACCCAGCCCGTGTGAGTATATCTTATATCCCCAAACCGAAACCCGTGGTCGCTGAAGAAAACCAAAACCACGTTGTCCAAATGGTCATAAATATCTTTCAAGAACGTCTCGACTTTCGCATCCATCGAAGACGCAAGATTCACGTTATTGTGGCTGAAAGTGTTCATCCAAAACAACCCAAATTTCGGGCTCTTCTCAAAACTAAGAACAAAATCTTTGGCTAGGTTCATTATTCGTTCACCGGAAGTCTCCGGTCCGGAACACAAATGCATCCCGACGTTTAGAATGGAAGGTAGATTATCCGCAACGATTATGTACGGTCGAAAGTAGAAGTCCGTCGGCGGACTCCCGAAGCCCTGCCTGTTGTAATTGAAAGTCCCAATCGAAGACTCGTCCTCGGCGTACGCCGTAATATACCCTAAATCATTAAACCTATCCCAAATGATGTCACAGTTATCCATTTTGTTCTTCTTAGGGTCGCACTGATCGTAAACTTGGATCCAAGTCTTCCCGGTCAAAATTGCCACCAAGTTAGGAAACGTATTGTCGCCAATTTTGGTGTACCCCCTCAGATTCGCAAAGTCGTGCTCCTCCAGGAACTTGTATGTCTTGGGCATGGTGCGAACTAAGTTCATCTTCGACATGCTATCAATCCCTACGAACAAAACACTCATCGGAGTCGTCGTCCACTCTTGTTGTAGCTTCTGGTGTACGTGCTTAGGGTGGACAATCGCGTGCACGTTGGAGTAGATCTCGGGATTGATGGGACTCTTGCACTTCACCCAGACGACGGACTCAGTGACGGTGGTACTGTTTTGGAACGGAACACAATCTGAAACTCTACACAGCGTTAGTTTGAATTTGGTGTATAATGAGTTGTACTTCACGGCGTCGTCCGACTTGTTCTCTTCGACGACCCGAGTGACGACCGACCAGCAGCACGAAATCGTGAACCTGCTGTACGTTGCCAGGAGGCTTTGGTTGATGCGGAGGGTGATCGAAGAGTCTTTCTTTTCTATGTAGGTTAGAGGAGGTCGTTTCGAACAAGGAACGTAGGATTGTGGGTGGTAGTATGGTAAGACTTGTTCGTTGAAAGGGTCTTCGTTCGGGATTTGACACTTCGATGTATGGATCAAGTACTTTTCGCTCTGAGGTTTCGACTTGGAATCTAGAAATTCGAACATCAACGAGTAGTTCCCACGGGGTAGTTATATTACTATTTAGCACCAGTTTTTCGTCAAAGTTACCAATCTTGGATTGTGTGTAATAGAAAAAGATGACTAGGAAAGTTAGTACCATACAAGTGAGGAGAATTTTTCGTGCGGTTACATTTAGTCGGTCCTGCAAACAACGTGGATTAATAACAGAAATACTTCAAGCTCGCTACTGATAAATATTTGTATAAACACTTGCGGGTCACGACGTAGATAAAATCTCTCGTGACCAGCATCTCAAGCCATGGGACCATGGGAATTCCCGCGGCTTGCCCACGACAAATATAAAGATCGCACAGACATCGCGTTGATTCAATACCGGTTTCGCGATCTAGAGATGAGTACTATGAAAATTTGCGCTACTTTGAGCATGCTAATGTGTGTGGTGTTCTTGGCCTTGGCCAAGCCGCCGTTGCCACCAGGAGGTAAGCGATTTTAAGTCTTGAACATAACGTCATGGGTGTTTCTAGGTTTGAATTATATAAATTGCACGCGTCCCAACGAGTACTATAACTGTGGAAGCGCCTGTCAGACGGAATGTGCTACTCTTGGCCAAGTTTGTCCCATAGTCAACTTTAGGTGTAATGATGCTTGTTACTGCATTGAGGGGTACGCCAGAAACGAGAAGGGCGATTGCATTCCGCAGTCGGAATGCAAGAAATGAGTGACAAGTGTTGGGTTTCTTTAATAAAAACTGAATGAAAATTGAACCTTCATTGTGCTGTGGTCTAAGCTGAAAAAGCTTAAAACTTCGAAGTAAAACCTAACAAATACTGCTTTAGTATTATTATTTATTGCAAAGTACAATAAATTAGTGACAGTTATAACACGTCAATATGACTTTTTTGAATTTGATGGCTGGAATTTGGTGCCTTGATTAATACAATACATAAATATGTAAGTACCCAGGGGGCTAGATGTTCTATATGAAACAATAACCTAAGACTTGTGTCTGATCTGGTTTCGTTATATCCTAAACATATAGGGAATGAGTCTTATAAAAATTTGCCTTTTTTCCTTAGCCATCTTTTCACAACAAGAAACTTAGAACATGGTTCAAAATGATACATGCAAAATCGATATTTCCTTACACAAATTTTCAATTTTAAACATGTTCTAAGTTTCATGTTGTGACAAGAAGTCTACACATATTAAAACAAACAGGCAAAATATAAGCCCACCCACCCGCCCTATCGCAATTGTGATGATTTTTTTATTCGTCGTGAGCCAAGAGGACGGAGTTTAACTGCAAAATACTTATTTTTTTACAAGAAATTAAAAATGAGTAGCGTGTTGTTTAAAGAATACTATGTATATTAAGAAAAAAAGGCAAAAGATAAACCCCGCCCACCCACCCCTTCTCAATTGCGATATATCTTTTTTTTCTTAGAAACTTAAAACACGTTTAAAATGGTAATTTTTTTTAGAAAATATGGATTTTGCAATTGGATTCCGTCCCTATGTTTGCCAACGAATGAGAAATTCGTTACTATTTAGATCAGGGCAGGTATGGGTGGCGCTTAATCTTTGGCTTTACTTTTATCTTAATATACATAGCATTCTTTGACCAATACGACACTCAAAAACATGTTTTTAATTTCTCGTAGAAAAATAAGGATTTTACAATTAAGCTCTGTCCCTCGGCTTACGATGAATAAAAAAAAATATCAGAATGAGATGGGGGGGGCTTATATTTTGCTTTCTCTTTAATTTACTTTGCCATCTTTTCACAATAAGAAACTTAGAACATGGTTAAAATGGTACATTTTTGCAGGAAAAAATGGATTTTGCAATTATGGGGCGGAACCTAATTGCAAAATCGATATTTCCTTACACGAATTTTCCATTTTAAACAGGTTTTAAGTTTCATGTTAAGAAAAGAACACATATTAAAACAAAAAGGAAAAATATAAGCCCGCCCACCCGCCCTATCGCAATTGTGATGATTTTTCTTATTCGTCGTCAGCCAAGAGGGCGGAGCTTAACTGCAAAATATTTATTTCTTGACAAGAAATTAAAAACATTTTTTGAGTATTGAGTTGTTCAAAGAATGATATGTACCATCGCTGGACAAAAAAAACTGGGACACAATAGGTAACTAGATAATTTTGAAAATTCGAAATTTAAAACGTGTAAGTTGGGCTTTTCCTGCCAAAAATATTATTTATTAGGTTTGTGAAACATTTTCGCATATTTTATTTATTGTTTTCAAGAAATTAGTCGGAAAGATAAAGGCGTAAACGAGAGCGTAAAATTAGGAATGTAACTTTATTCAAGAGAAAATAAAAAACTGGAATTATAACTAGAAACATTATATTGAAGATGCCAATTCAACTCATCAGTATTTTGTCATTGCACCATTTGCATCGATCACATTCTGTAGTCGACGAGGCATGGAAGCAACTAACTGCCTCATATATCCAGGTGTTACAGTTTCCCATGCCTCGACAATTTTTTCTTGTAATTCTAGTGGATTTCTAGGTCGAAAGTCATTTTGATAAATATATTTTTGCATTTCTCCCCAAACATTTTCAATTACGTTTAAATCTGGGCTCCTAGAAGGCCAAGGCAAAACATTGACTCCCTGGGCTTCCAAATACTGACTTACCAGTCGGGCATTATGAACTGGACAGTTATCCTGCAATGGGTTTTATAATTATTAAAAAAAATATGAAAATAAGAATAGCACAAACTTGTTGAAATATAAAGTTTCGTTCTCCAAAAACTGGTATTACTGAGGGGAGCATAAGTTCCTCTAGAAGCCTTCTGTATACATTAGCGTTTAATCTTTCTTCTACTATTGCGCAAATTCCACGTCCTCTGCTGCTAACCCACCCCCAAACATTAACGGAAAAGCGACCGGATTGTTTATATTTATTGCAATAGCGTTCATCATATCTCGTTCCTGGGGGTCTATAGACACGACGACGCCCATTACTATATGATTTGAAAGTTTTTTCGTCGGAAAATATCACATTATTCCACATATCTGCAGGTTCATTGACAAATTCCTGAGCAAATAATACCCTATTTGCCTTGTTTTGCTCAGTTAAAAATATTTTATTGGCAGCAGCCCGATTTCTTAATTCAGTTTCGTGGACTCTCTTCCGGGCTGTTTTCAGTGACGCAGGGAAATTCGTTTGCTGCCTTGCGTTAACCACTGTTTCGAAAGGATATTCTCGAATGAAATTTGCCAATTCAATGTTTTCGTCTGCAGTCGTTTTTTTTGGACGACCCGACCCCGCTCGTCTGATAATTCTACCATATTCATTAATTTTTTTTTTCGCCAGTAGGACAGTATTCTTGCTGATATGCAGCTCAGTTGCTATTGTTCTAATTGAGACCCCATCCCTTAAACGTTGCGCAATAGTTTGCTTTTGAACTTCGTTCAAACTTGGCATTTTTGAATTGGCACTTGACATTAATCAAGGTGACATTTTTTAAATTTCATTTTGAATTACATTTTAAAGAGCTGTTTACAATGCAAAAATTTTCAGTGTCCCAGTTTTTTATTTCCACCGATGGTACATTAAGAAAAGAAAAGGCAAAATATAGAGCCCGCCCACCCACCCCATCTCCATTGTGATAATTTTTTTTAATCTTAGAAACTTAAAACACGTTTAAAAAGGGTATAATTTTGTAAGTAACTATGGATTTTGCAAACTGGCTCCACCCCTAGGTCTGCCAACGTATGAAAACTTCATTACTGTTTAGATCAGGGCAGGTATGGGTGGGGCTTAAACTTTGGCTTTTATTTTTTCTTAATATACATATGCAGTATTCTTTGAATAACACGATACTCATGGTAATTTCTTGCAGAGAGACAATAAGGATTTTGCAGTTAAATTCCGCTGCTTTGGCTCTCGACAATTAAAAAAAAATCATCACAATTGCGATAGGGCGGGTGGGCGGGGCTTATATTTTGCCTTTTTTCTTAATACACATGGTATTCTTTGAATAACCCGATACTCAAAAACGTTTTTAATTTCTCGTAGAAAAATAAGGATTTTGCAGTGAAGCTTCGCCCTCTTGGCTCACGACGAATAAAAAAAATCGTCACAATTGAGACCGGGTGGGTGGGCGGGCTTACATTTTTCCTTTTCTTTTCTTAACATGTGTAGACTTATTTCGACAACAAGAAACTTAAAACATGTCTAAAATGGTAAACTTTGGTAGAAATCAAGTTAAATCCTCCATTTTTCATCTACAACCCCTTTAAATATGGCAGAAGTTGAACATCAGAGTTACTATCAACGGCAACTTGGCAACGGAGTTTACACTGGAAAATCCAGAGAGCATCGTATTGATTACACTTCGTACGAGAGCTACGTATTCCTGGTTGCATACTATTTGTTTTACCAATAACACTGGATTTGTGTATTTAATGTTCTCAAAAGATTCCAAATCAATACCACATAATTGTCGGCGCGAATTCTTCAATATATTTTATGCAATAACTTTCTTTGATACGAATTTTCTCAACGTTATCAATTTTTTTAGAGATGATTAACCAACAATTTTTGGTTAGCCCGTAAAGATCGCAACAAAACTCTACGGCTGGAAATTAACACAAGCAGTTGTGGTGACCGAATTTGAATTAAAATTCAAAGAAATCGTTAAACATAGGCAACCATGTGCACGTTTAGTTCTTTTTCTGATAGTTGGTAGTTCTGCTTGAAATTTTAATTACAGGGTTGGTGCTATTTTATTCAAAAAATATTCGGCACTGTCATTCTATCATTTATGACAAATCATATGTAATTTAAGCTTTACTGTCATTTTGACAAATATTAGCACTTTTCAAAAATCTATTTTGTCAAACGATGCTTTTGATATTATTAATATCCGACAGATATGACAGTAGTGTCAGTCGATTAGGTTATCTAAATAAAGCACATTTTACAAGTTATGACATTAGTAAATGACAATTGCCTAAGATTTTTTGAATAAAACTCTAGAAGATGGCGGCTTGGTAGGGAGGTGAGAGGCTTCACTCTTGGTTGGTTCTTTTGAGTGAAAACCACGTAGTGAGTTAACGCTAACACCTGTATAAATTTGTTTTATTGTTTGTAAATTCACAGTTCATATTAGGAGTTTAATCGTTAATTAGTTCCAACACAGTTTAACAATCAGCAATTTCTTTAGATAAATACTTGCTAGGAGATTTCATGAAACTCACACATAAAATTTTTCACCTCATGCAATTTTTCTTTATCACACAATTGCAACTTCAGTAATTTTCTTGTTGTATAATTTAAATTGAACGTAAATTTTCATGCTTTGCTGTTTCTATCCTCAAGTAATTTTTTTGTCTACACAAGTTTTACTTCACATCAGATTTGTCTTTTGGTTTTATAAATTTTTGCTAGTTTGTTTTTGTAAATATTTTGTTGATGAATCATCTAAATTATCTGATGTCCAATCTTAATCTCAATAATAAATATACGCAAAAATATCCAGTCATCGTTGCGAGGAATAAGCGCCTCGGTGATGTGATTTTTAACGTTGCGAGGAAATGCCTCGGTGATGTAATGATGACAACGATGCTAATAACGATGATAACTGCCTAAGGAAAATTATTTTAACCCCCCGTCAGTTCATGATGTAATGAATTTTGTTAATTTAACTGCCGTAAATGAACTATTAACAATCTTGTGTGAAGAATTAAGAAGTGTTTTAATGGTTTTAAATTGGGTTAGCACCAGTTAACGATTAAAATCCTAACCTGATCGGTAAATTTACAAACAATAAAACAAATTTACAGCACTTGTAGCAACGACAGAACCAAACATGCTCTTGCCATGCCACTATCTTGTCTACTCAACCGCCCTCTGACTAAAACATCCGCTACCGAGCTACCAACTACTCACAAAGCGCCAACGTGCACATGGTTGCCTACGTTTAACGATTTCTTGATTGATTTTTTTTCAAATTCAAATTATCCACATGTGATTTCGTGCCGCTGTTAATTAATTTCAGCGCGAAAATTTGATTCAAATTCGGTCACCACACAATTATGGGGAATAGAAAAATTGACAAACCGCAACCTTGCTATGAATTTTTTTGTATTCCAAACTAAAACACTTTTTGAAAATATAAAAACAAATTTATTAACTGCAGAAAATATAATTTTTCTTTCTTTTTGTATAATAAATTCAACAAATATAAAATCAAACACAATTCAAAAAATTACATATGGCACTTTTAATTGAAGTGAAAAGTCCATCACAGTAGCAATATTTCTTCAAAGAATCGTTAATACATTTGCTATTGTCACCATATCTATTTATACGACTAATATCACCTAACAAACGAAATCTAGGCAACTTATGAGGCTGCGAAGCAACTTCCACCGTCGCTTCGAACATCGCCGGAGGTCTCGTTTCAAGCATAATCAGCATATAATGCACCGTTTGATTATTCTCGTTTAAGTACAACTCGGACATCCCCGAAGAGACGATCTTCTTCAAGTAGTAGAAAGCACACTTATGCCCGCTCTCCGAGGCCTGAATCAAAGAGTTAACCTCGAAAACTATATACTGAGCGGTATCCACGACGATCTGGGTGCTCGGATTCACGTACGAGTGTCCAGAACACAAGCACCAGTGTTGTTCAATAGCAGCATCTTTGCAAGTCCGCGCTTCATCCACTTCCTGGAACAACGAGTGGCATTTGGGGCAAGCCAGACTCGGCTGGACTTCGTAACTCTGGTTAGTAAACGCCAAAATATCCTGGAGTGTCATGTAAAGATCGAAAGGAGTCGTCAGCCTCTTCGTATTGGTAAGAAAGTGGCCAACTTCTTTGGGGTGAAGCTGCTTCAATGTTTTCGGTAGATGGACGTAGATGAAGGGTAGACGCTCCTCCACCCAGCCCGTGTGAGTGTATCTTATATCCCCAAACCGAAACCCGTGGTCGCTGAAGAAAACCAAAACCACGTTGTCCAAATGGTCGTAGATATCTTCCAAGAACGTCTCGACTTTCGCATCCATCGAAGACGCAAGATTCACGTTATTGTGGCTGAAAGTGTTCATCCAAAACAACCCAAATTTCGGGCTCTTCTCAAAACTAAGAACAAAATCTTTGGCTAGGTTCATTATTCGTTCACCGGAAGTCTCCGGTCCGGAACACAAATGCATCCCGACGTTTAGAATGGAAGGTAGATTATCCGCAACGATTATGTACGGTCGAAAGTAGAAGTCCGTCGGCGGACTCCCGAAGCCCTTCCTGTTGTAATTGAAAGTCCCAATCGAAGACTCGTCCTCGGCGTACGCCGTAATATACCCTAAATCATTAAACCTATCCCAAATGATGTCACAGTTATCCATTTTGTTCTTCTTAGGGTCGCACTGATCGTAAACTTGGATCCAAGTCTTCCCGGTCAAAATTGCCACCAAGTTAGGAAACGTATTGTCGCCAATTTTGGTGTACCCCCTCAGATTCGCAAAGTCGTGCTCCTCCAGGAACTTGTATGTCTTGGGCATGGTGCGAACCAAGTTCATCTTCGACATGCTATCAATCCCCACGAACAAAACACTCATCGGAGTCGTCGTCCACTCTTGTTGTAGCTTCTGGTGTACGTGCTTAGGGTTGACAATCGCGTGCACGTTGGAGTAGATCTCGGAATTGATGGGACTCTTGCACTTGACCCAGACGACGGATTCAGTGACGGTGGTACTGCTTTGGAACGGAACGCAATCTGAAACTCTACATAGCGTTAGTTTGAATTTGGTGTATAATGAGTTGTACTTCACGGCGTCGTCCGACTTGTTCTCTTCGACGACCCGAGTAACAGCCGACCAGCAGCACGAAATCGTGAACCTGCTGTACGTTGCCAGGAGGCTTTGGTTGATGCGGAGGGTGATCGAAGAGTCTTTCTTTTCTATGTAGGTTAGGGGGGGTCGTTTCGAACAAGGAATGTAGGATTGTGGGTGGTAGAATGGTTTGACTTGTTCGTTGAAAGGGTCTTCGTTCGGGATTTGACACTTCGATGTATGGATCAAGTACTTTTCGCCCTGAGGTTTCGAGTTGGAATCTAGAAATTCAAACCATCAACGAGTAGTTCCCACAGGGGAGTTATATTACTATTTAGCACCAGTTCTTCGTCAAAGTTACCAATCTTGGATTGTGTGTAATAGAAAAAGATGACAAGGAAAGTTAGTACCATACAAGTGAGGAGAATTTTTCGTGCGGTTGCATTTAGTCGGTCCTGCAAACAACGTGGATTAATACCAGAGATACTTCAAGGTCGCTACTGATAAATATTTGTATAAACACTTGCGGGTCACGACGTAGATAAACTCTCTCGTGACCAGCATCTCAAGCCATGGGACCATGGGAATTCCCGCGGCTTGCCCACGACAATTATAAGATCGCACAGGCATCGCGTTGATTCAATACCGATTTCGCGGTCTAGAGATGAGTACCATGAAAATTTGCGCTACTTTGAGCATACTAATGTGTGTGGTGTTCTTGGCCTTGGCCAAGTCGCCGTTGCCACCAGGAGGTAAGCGATTTTAAGTCTTGAACATAACGTCATGGGTGTTTCTAGGTCTGAATTATATAAATTGCACGCGTCCCAACGAGTACTATAACTGTGGAAGCGCCTGTCAGACGGAATGTGCTACCCTTGGCCAAGTTTGTCCCATAGTCAACTTTAGGTGTAATGATGCTTGTTACTGCATCGAGGGGTACGCCAGAAACGAGAAGGGCGATTGCATTCCGCAGTCGGAATGCAAGAAATGAGTGACAAGTGTTGGGTTTCCTTAATAAAAACTGAATGAAAATTGTACCTTCATTGTGCTGTGGCCTAAGCTGAAGAGCTTAAAACTTCGAAGTAAAACCTAACAAATACTGCTTTAGTATTATTATTTATTGCAAAGTACAATAAATTAGTGACAGTTATAACACGTCAATATGACTTTTTTGAATTTGATGGGTGGAATTTGGTGCCTTGATTAATACAATATATAAATATGTAAGTACCAAGGGGGCTAGATGTTCTATATGAAACAATAACCTAAGGCTTGTGTCTGATTTGGTTTCGTTCTATCCTAAATACATGGGGAATGAGTCTTATATTTTGCCTTTTTGTTCCTAATATACGTAGCCATCTTTTCACAACAAAAAATTTAGAACATGGTTCAAAATGATACATGCAAAATCGATATTTCCTTACACAAATTTTCAATTTTAAACATGTTCTAAGTTTCACGTTAAGAAAAGGAAGTCTAGACGTAATAAAACAAAAAGGAAAAATATAAGCCCGCCCACCCGCCCTATCGCAATTGTGATGATTTTTCTTATTCGTCGTGAGCCAAGAGGGCGGAGTTTAACTGCAAAATACTTATTTTTTTACAAGAAATTAAAAATGAGTAGCGTGTTGTTTAAAGAATACTATGTATATTAAGAAAAAAAGGCAAAAGATGAACCCCGCCCACCCACCCCATCTCAATTGTGATATATATTTTTTAATTCTTAGAAACTTAAAACACGTTTAAAATGGTAAATTTTTTTAAGAAAATATGGATTTTGCAATTGGGCTCCGCGCCTATGTTTACCAACCAATGAAAACTTCATTACTATTTAGATCAGGACAGGTATGGGTGTAATCTTTGGCTTTACTTTTATCTTAATATACATAGCATTCTTTGACCAATACGACACTCAAAAACATGTTTTTAATTTCTCGTAGAAAAATAAGGATTTTACAATTAAGCTCTGCCCCTCGGCTTAAGATGAATTAAAAAAAATCATCAGAATGAGATGGGGGGGGGGCTTATATTTTGCCTTTTTTTTTCTTAATTTACTTTGCCATCTTTTCACAATAAGAAACTTAGAACATGGTTAAAATGGTACATTTTTGCAAGAAAATATGGAGCTTGCAATTATGGGGCGGAACCTAATTGCAAATTCGATATTTCCTTACACAAATTTTCCATTTTAAACATGTTCTAAGTTTCATGTTTGAAAAGAAGTCTACACATAATAAAACAAAAAGGAAAAATATAAGCCCGCCCACCCGCCCTATCGCAATTGTGACGACTTTTTTATTCGTTGTGAGCCAAGAGGGCGGAGTTTAACTGCAAAATACTTATTTCTTTGCAAGAAATTAAAAACATTTTTTGAGTATTGTGTTGTTCAAAGAATACAATGTACATTAAGAAAAAAGGGCATAATATAAACCCCGCCCACCCACCCCATCTCCATTGTGATGATTTTTTTTATTCACAGAAACTTAAAACACGTTTAAAAAGGGTATATTTTTGTAAGGAAATGTGGATTTTGCAATTCAGCTCCGCCCCTTGGTCTACCAACGAATGAAAACTTGATTACTCTTTAGATCAGGACAAGTATGGGTGGGGCTTAAACTTTGGCTTTCATTTTTTCTTAATATACATATGCAGTATTCTTTGAATAACACGATACTCATGGTAATTTCTTGCAGAGAAACAATAAGGATTTTGCAGTTAAATTCAGCTGCTTTGGCTCTCGATAATTAAAAAAAATCATCACAATTGCGATAGGGCGGGTGGGCGGGGCTTATATTTTGCCTTTTTTCTTAATACACATGGTATTCTTTGAATAACCCGATAGTCAAAAACGTTTTTAATTTCTCTTAGATAAATAAGGATTTTGCAGTGAAGCTTCGCCCTCTTGGCTCACGACGAATAAAAAAAATCATCACAAATGAGACCGGGTGGGTGGGCGGGGCTACATTTTGCCTTTTCTTTCTTAACATGTGTGGACTTATTTCGACAACAAGAAACTTAAAACATGTCTAAAATGGTAAACTTTGGTAGAAATCAAGTTAAATCCTCCATTTTTCATCTACAACCCCTTTAAATATGGCAGAAGTTGAACATCAGAGTTACTATCAACGGCAACTTGGCAACGGAGTTTATACTGGAAAATCCAGAGAGCATCGTATTGATTACACTTCGTACGAGAGCTACGTATTACTGGTTGCATACTATTTGTTTTACCAATAACACTGGATTTGAGTATTTAGTATTCTCAAAAGGTTCCAAATTGATACCACATAATTGTCGAAGCGAACTCATCAATATATTTTATGCAATAACTTTCTTTGATACGAATTTTCTCAACGTTATCATTTTTTTTTTTAGAAAAGATTAACCAACAACTTTTGGTTAGCCCGTAAAGATCGCAACAAAACTCTACGGCTGGAAATTAACACAAGCAGTTGTGGTGACCCAATTTGAATTAAAATTCAAAGAAATCGTTAAACATAGGCAACCATGTCCACGTTTAGTTCTTATTCTGGTAGTTGGTGGTTCTGCTTGAAATTTTAATTACAAGGTTGGTGCTATTTTATTCAAAAAATATTAGGCACTGTCATTCTATCATTTATGACAAATCATATGTGATTTAAGCTTTACTGTTATTTTGACAAATATTAGCACTTTTCAAAAATCTATTTTGTCAAACGATGCTTTTGATATTATTAATATCCGACAGATATGACACTACTGTCAGTAAATTAGGTTATCTAAATAAAGCAAATTTTACAACTTATGATATTAGTAAATGACAACTGCCTAAGATTTTTTGAATAAAACTGTAGAAGATGGCGGCTTGGTAGGGAGGTGAGAGGCTTCACTCTTGGTTGGTTCTTGTGAGTGAAAACCACGTGGTGAGTTAACGCTAACACCTGTGTAAATTTATTTTATTGTTTGTAAATTCACAGTTCATATTAGGAGTTCAATCGTTAACTACTTCTAACACAGTTTAACAATCAGGAATTTGTTTAGATAAACACTTGCTAGGAGATTTCATGAAACCCACATAAAATTTTTCACCTCATGCAATTTTTCTTTATCCCACAATTGCAACTTCAGTAATTTTTTTGTTGTATAATTTAAATTGAACGTAAATTTTCATGCTTTGCTGTTTCTAACCTCATGTATTTTTTTTTGTCTACACAAGTTTTACTTCACATCAGATTTGTCTTTTGGTTTTATAAATTTTTGCTAGTTTTTTTTGTAAATATTTTGTTGATGAATCATATAAATTATCTGATGTCCAATCTTAATCTCAATAATAAATAAACACAAAAATATCCAGTCAGCGTTGCGAGGAATAAGCGCCTCGGTGATGTAATTTTTAACGTTGCGAGGAAATGCCTCGGTGATGTAATGATGATAACGATGCTAATAAGGATGATAACTGCTATGGAAAATTATTTTAATCCCCGTCGGTTCACGATATAATGAATTTTGTTAATTTAACTGCCGTAAATGAACTATTAACAATATTGTGTGAAGAATTAAGAAGTGTTATAATGTAACCCTTACGTATTAGCATCCAGAAACTTATTCATTATTAGACAAAGGATGTTATCCTGACTACGTGAATTTCATGAAATCTCCTAGTGTCTGTTAAATTGTGTTAGCACCAGTTAACGATTAAAATCCTAACCTGATCGGTGAATTTATAAACAATAAAACAAATTTACAGCACTTGTAGCATCGACAGAATCATGCATGCTCTCGCCATGCCGCCATCTTGTCTACTCTACCGCCCTCTAATTAAAACATCCCCTACCGAGCTACCCACAAAGCGCTAACGTGCACATGGTTGCCTACGTTTAACGATTTTTTGATTGATTTTTTTTTTAATTTAAGTTATCCAAATGTGATTTCGCGCCGCTGTTAATTAATTTCAGCGCGAATATTTGATTCAAATTCGGTCACCACACAATTTATGGGGAATACAGAAATTGACAATCCGCAACCTCGCTGTGAATTTTTTTATACCTCCAAACTAAAACACTTTTTGAAAATATAAAAACAAATTTATTAACTGCAGAAAATATAATTTTTCTTTCTTTTTGTATAATAAATTCAACAAATATAAAATCAAACACAATTCAAAAAATTACATATGGCACTTTTAATTGAAGTGAAAAGTCCATCACAGTAGCAATATTTCTTCAAAGAATCGTTAATACATTTGCTATTGTCACCATATCTATTTATACGACTAATATCACCTAACAAACGAAATCTAGGCAACTTATGAGGCTGCGAAGCAACTTCCACCGTCGCTTCGAACATCGCCGGAGGTCTCGTTTCAAGCATAATCAACATATAATGCACCGTTTGATTATTCTCGTTTAAGTACAACTCGGACATCCCCGAAGAGACGATCTTCTTCAAATAGTAGAAAGCACACTTATGCCCGCTCTCCGAGGCCTGGATTAAAGAGTTAACCTCGAAAACTATATACTGAGCGGTATCCACGACGATCTGGGTGCTGGGATTCACGTACGAGTGTCCAGAACACATGCACCAGTGTTGTTCAATAGCACCATCTTTGCAAGTACGAGCTTCGTCCACCTCCCGGAACAACGAGTGGCATTTGGGGCACGCCAGACTCGGCTGGACTTCGTAACTGTGGTTAGTTAAGGCCAAAATATCCTGGAGGGTCATGTAAAGATCGAACGGAGTCGTCAGCCTCTTTGTATTAGTAAGAAAGTTACTAACTTCTTTGGGGTGACGCTGCTTCAGTGTTTTCGGTAGATGGACGTAGATGAAGGGTAGACGCTCCTCCACCCAGCCCGTGTGAGTGTATCTTATATCCCCAAACCGAAACCCGTGGTCGCTGAAGAAAACCAAAACCACGTTGTCCAAATGGTCATAGATATCTTTCAAGAACGTCTCGACTTTCGCATCCATCGAAGACGCAAGATTCACGTTATTGTGGCTGAAAGTGTTCATCCAAAACAACCCAAATTTCGGGCTCTTCTCAAAACTAAGAACAAAATCTTTGGCTAGGTTCATTATTCGTTCACCGGAAGTCTCGGGTCCGGAACACAAATGCATCCCGACGTTTAGAATGGAAGGTAGATTATCCGCAACGATTATGTACGGTCGAAAGTAGAAGTCCGTCGGCGGACTCCCGAAGCCCTTCCTGTTGTAATTGAACGTCCCAATCGAAGACTCGTCCTCGGCGTACGCCGTAATATACCCTAAATCATTAAACCTATCCCAAATGATGTCACAGTTATCCATTTTGTTCTTCTTGGGGTCGCACTGGTCGTAAACTTGGATCCAAGTCTTCCCAGTCAAAATTGCCACCAAGTTAGGAAACGTATTGTCGCCAATTTTGGTGTACCCCCTCAGATTCGCAAAGTCGTGCTCCTCCAGGAACTTGTACGTCTTCGGCATGGTGCGAACCAAGTTCAACTTCGACATGCTGTCAATCCCCACGAACAAAACACTCATCGGAGTCGTCGTCCACTCTTGTTGTAGCTTCTGGTGTACGTGCTCAGGGTTGACAATCGCGTGCACGTTGGAGTAGATCTCGGGATTGATGGGACTCTTGCACTTGACCCAGACGACGGATTCAGTGACGGTGGTACTGTTTTGGAACGGAACGCAATCTGAAACTCTACAGAGCGTTAGTTTGAATTTGGTGTATAATGAGTTGTACTTCACGGCGTCGTCCGACTTGTTCTCTTCGACGACCCGAGTAACAGCCGACCAGCAGCACGAAATCGTGAACCTGCTGTACGTTGCCAGGAGGCTTTGGTTGATGTGGAGGGTGATCGAAGACTCTTTCTTTTCTATGTACGTTAGAGGAGGTCGTTTCGAACAAGGAATGTAGGATTGTGGGTGGTAGTATGGTAAGATTTGTTCGTTGAACGGGTCTTCGTTCGGGATTTGACACTTCGATGTATGGATCAAGTACTTTTCGCCCTGAGCTTTCGACTTGGAATCTAGAAATTCGAGCATCAACGAGTAGTTCCCACGGGGTAGTTATATTACTATTTAGCACCAGTTCTTCGTCAAAGTTACCAATCTTGGATTGTGTGTAATAGAAAAAGATGACAAGGAAAGTTAGTACCATAAAAGTGAGAACAATTTTTCGTCCGGTTACATTTAGTCGGTCCTGCAAACAACGTGGATTAATAACAGAAATACTTCAAGGTCGCTACTGATAAATATTTGTATAAACACTTGCGGGTCACGACGTAGATAAACTATCTCGTGACCAGCATCTCAAGCCATGGAACCATGGGAATTACCACGGCTTGCCCACGACAAGTATAAAGATCGCACAGACATCGCGTTGATTCAATACCGGTTTCGCGGTCTAGAGATGAGTACCATGAAAATTTGCGCTACTTTGAGCATACTAATGTGTGTGATGTTCTTGGCCTTGGCCAAGCCGCCGTTGCCACCAGGAGGTAAGCGATTTTAAGTCTTGAACATAACGTCATGGGTGTTTCTAGGTCTGAATTATATAAATTGCACGCGCCCCAACGAGTACTACAACTGTGGAAGCGCCTGTCAGACGGAATGTGCTACCCTTGGCCAAGTTTGTCCCATAGTCAACTTTAGGTGTAATGATGCTTGTTACTGCATTGAGGGGTACGCCAGGAACGAGAAGGGCGATTGCATTCCGCAGTCGGAATGCAAGAAATGAGTGACAAGTGTTGGGTTTCTTTAATAAAAACTGAATGAAAATTGTACCTTCATTGTGCTGTGGTCTAGCTAAAAGAGCTTAAAACTTCGAAGTAAAACCTAACAAATACTGCTTTAGTATTATTATTTATTGCAAAGTACAATAAATTAGTGACAGTTATAACACGTCAATATGAATTTTTTGAATTTGATGGATGGAATTTGGTGCCTTGATTATTACAATATATAAATATGTAAGTACCAAGGGGGCTAGATGTTCTATATGAAACAATAACCTAAGGCTTGTGTCTGATTTGGTTTCGTTCTATCCTAAATACATGGGGAATGAGTCTTATATTTTGCCTTTTTGTTCCTAATATACGTAGCCATCTTTTCACAACAAAAAATTTAGAACATGGCTCAAAATGATACATGCAAAATCGATATTTTCTTACACAAATTTTCAATTTTAAACATGTTCTAAGTTTCATGTTAAGAAAAGACGTCTACACATAATAAAACAAAAAGGAAAAATATAAGCCCGCCCACCCGCCCTATCGCAATTGTGATGATTTTTCTTATTCGTCGTGAGCCAAGAGGACGGAGTTTAACTGCAAAATACTTATTTTTTTACAAGAAATTAAAAATGAGTAGCGTGTTATTTAAAGAATGCTATGTATATTAAGAAAAAAAGGCAAAAGATAAACCCCGCCCACCCACCCCATCTCAATTGTGATATATCTTTTTTAATTCTTAGAAACTTAAAACACGTTTAAAATGGTAATTTTTTTTTAGAAAATATGGAATTTGCAATTGGGTTCCGCGCCTATGTTTGCCAACCAATGAAAATTTTATTACTATTTAGATCAGGACAGGTATGGGTGGGGATTAATCTTTGGCTTTACTTTTATATTAATATACATAGCACTCTTTGACCAATATGACACTCAAAAACATGTTTTTAATTTCTCTTAGAAAAATAAGGATTTTACAATTAAGCTCTGCCCCTCGGTTTACGATGAATAAAAAAAATTATCAGAATGAGAAGGGGGGGGCTTATATTTTGCTTTTTTTTTTTAATTTACTTTGCCATCTTTTCACAATAAGAAACTTAGAACATGGTTAAAATGGTACATTTTTGCAGGAAAATATGGATTTTGCAATTATGGGGCTGAGCCTCATTGCAAAATCGATATTTCCTTACACAAATTTTCCATTTTAAACATGTTTTAAGCTTCATGTTAAGAAAAGAAGTCTACACATATTAAAACAAATAGGCAAAATATAAGCCCGCCCACCCGCCCTATCGCAATTGTGACGATTTTTTTTATTCGTCGTGAGCCAAGAGGGCGGAGCTTACTGCAAAATACTTATTTCTTTACAAGAAATTAAAAACATTTTTTGAGTATCGAGTTGTTCAAAGAATAATACGTACATTAAGAAAAGAAAAGGCAAAATATACAACCCGCCCACCCACCCCATCTCCATTGTGATGATTTTTTTTATTCTTAGAAACTTAAAACACGTTTAAAAAGGGTATAATTTTGTAAGGAACTATGGATTTTGCAAATAGACTCCACCCCTAGGTCTGCCAACGAATGAAAACTTCATTACTGTTTAGATCAGGGCAGGTATGGGTGGGGCTTAATCTTTGGCTTTCATTTTTTCTTAATATACATATGTAGTAGTCTTTGAATAACACGGTACTCATGGTCATTTCTTGTAGAGAAACAGTAAGGATTTTGCAGTTAAATTCCGCTGCTTTGGCTCTCGATAATTAAAAAAAATCATCACAATTGCGATAGGGTGGGTGGGCGGGGCTTATATTTTGCCTTTTTTCTTAATGTATATAGTATTCTTTGAACAGCACGATACGCAAAAACGTTTTTAATTTCTCGCAGAGAAATAAGGATTTTGCAGAGAAACTCCGCCCTCTTGGCTCACGACGAATAAAAAAAATCATCACAATTGAGACCGGGTGGGTGGGCGGGCTTACATTTTTCCTTTTCTTTTCTTAACATGTGTAGACTTATTTCGACAACAAGAAACTTAAAACATGTCTAAAATGGTAAACTTTTGTAAAAATCAAATTAAATCTCCACTTTTCTTCTACAACCCCTTTAAATACGGCAAAAGTTTAACATCAGAGTTACTATCAACGACAACTTGGCAACGGAATTTATACTGGAAAAGTCCAGAGAGCATCGTATTGATTACACTTCGTACGAGAGCTACGTATTACTGGTTGCATACTATTTGTTTTACCAATAACACTGGATTTGAGTATTTACTATTCTCATAAGATTCCAAATCGATACCACATAATTGTCGAAGCGAACTCTTCAATATATTTTATGCAATAACTTTCTTTGATACGAATTTTCTCAACGTTATCAATTTATTTTAGAGAGGATTAACCAACAACTTTTGGTTAGCTCAGTAAGATCGCAACAAAACTCTAGGGCTCGAAATTAACACAAGCAGTTGTGGTGACCGAATTTGAATTAAAATTCAAGGAAATCGTTAAACATAGGCAACCATGTGCACGTTTAGTTCTTCTTCTGGTAGTTGATGGTTCTGCTTGAAATTTCAGTTAGAGGGTTGGTACTGTTTTATTCAAAAAATATTAGACACTGTTATTCTATCATTTATGACAAATCATTTGTGATTCAAGCTTTACTGTCATTTTGACAAATGTTAGCACTTTTCAAAAATCTATTTTGTCAAACGATGCCTTTGATATTATTAATATCCGACAGATATGACACTACTGTCAGTAAATTAGGTTATTATCTAAATAACGCACATTTTACAACTTATGATATTAGTAAATGACAACTGCCTAAGATTTTTTGAATAAAACTGTAGAAGATGGCGGCTTGGTAGGGAGGTGAGAGGCTTCACTCTTGGTTGGTTCTTGTGAGTGAAAACCACGTGGTGGGTTAACGCTAACACCTGTGTAAATTTGTTTTATTGTTTGTAAATTCACAGTTCATATTAGGAATTTAATCGTTAACTAGTTCTACCACAGTTCAACAATCAGGAATTTGTTTAGATAAACACTTGCTAGGGGATTTCATGAAACTCACACATAAAATTGTTCACCTCATGCAATTTTTCTTTATTCCACAATTGCAACTTCAGTAATTTTCTTGTTGTATAAATTAAATTGAACGTAAATTTTCATGCTTTGCTGTTTCTAACCTCATGTAATTTTTTTTTGCCTACACAAGTTTTACTTCAGGTTTGTCTTTTGGATTTATAAATTTTTGCTAGTTTTTTTTGTAAATATTTTGTTGATGAATCATATAAATTATCTGATGTCCAATCTTAATCTCAATAATAAATAAACACAAAAATATCCAGTCAGCGTTGCGAGGAATAAGCGCCTCGGTGATGTAATTTTTAGCGTTGCGAGGAAATGCCTCGGTGATGTAATGATGACAACGATGCTAATAACGATGATAACTGCCTAAGGAAAATTATTTTAACCCCCCGTCAGTTCATGATGTAATGAATTTTGTTAATTTAACTGCCGTAAATGAACTATTAACAATCTTGTGTGAAGAATTAAGAAGTGTTTTAATGGTTTTAAATTGGGTTAGCACCAGTTAACGATTAAAATCCTAACCTGATCGGTAAATTTACAAACAATAAAACAAATTTACAGCACTTGTAGCATCGACAGAACCAAACATGCTCTTGCCATGCCACTATCTTGTCTACTCAACCGCCCTCTGACTAAAACATCCGCTACCGAGCTACCAACTACTCACAAAGCGCCAACGTGCACATGGTTGCCTACGTTTAACGATTTCTTGATTGATTTTTTTTCAAATTCAAATTATCCACATGTGATTTCGTGCCGCTGTTAATTAATTTCAGCGCGAAAATTTGATTCAAATTCGGTCACCACACAATTATGGGGAATACAGAAATTGACAATTCGCAACCATGCTGTGAATTTTTTTGTTCCTCCAAAATAAAATACTTTTTGAAAATATAAAAACAAATTTATTAACTGCAGAAAATATAATTTTTCTTTCTTTTTGTATAATAAATTCAACAAATATAAAATCAAACACAATTCAAAAAATTACATATGGCACTTTTAATTGAAGTGAAAAGTCCATCACAGTAGCAATATTTCTTCAAAGAATCGTTAATACATTTGCTATTGTCACCATATCTATTTATACGACTAATATCACCTAACAAACGAAATCTAGGCAACTTATGAGGCTGCGAAGCAACTTCCACCGTCGCTTCGAACATCGCCGGAGGTCTCGTTTCAAGCATAATCAACATATAATGCACCGTTTGATTATTCTCGTTTAAGTACAACTCGGACATCCCCGAAGAGACGATCTTCTTCAAATAGTAGAAAGCACACTTATGCCCGCTCTCCGAGGCCTGGATTAAAGAGTTAACCTCGAAAACTATATACTGAGCGGTATCCACGACGATCTGGGTGCTCGGATTCACGTACGAGTGTCCAGAACACATGCACCAGTGTTGTTCAATAGCACCATCTTTGCAAGTACGAGCTTCGTCCACCTCCCGGAACAACGAATGGCATTTGGGGCACGCCAGACTCGGCTGGACTTCGTAACTCTGGTTAGTAAACGCCAAAATATCCTGGAGTGTCATGTAAAGATCGAACGGAGTCGTCAGTCTCCTCGTATTGGTAAGAAAGTGGCCAACTTCTGTGGGGCGAAGCTGCTTCAACGTTTTCGGTAGATGGACGTAGATGAAGGGTAGACGCTCCTCCACCCAGCCCGTGTGAGTATATCTTATATCCCCAAACCGAAACCCGTGGTCGCTGAAGAAAACCAAAACCACGTTGTCCAAATGGTCGTATATATCTTCCAAGAACGCCTCGACTTTCTCATCCATCGAAGACGGAAGATTCACGTTATCGTGGCTGAAAGTGTTCATCCAAAACAACCCGAATTTCGGGTTCTTCTCAAAACTAAAAGCGAAATCTTTGGCTAGGTTCATTATTCTTTCACCAGAAGTCTCCGGTCCGGAGCAAGTATGCATCCCGAATCTTCGAATGGAAGGCAGATTTTCCGCTGCGATCATGTACGGTCGGAAGTAGAAGTCCGTCGGCGGACTCCCGAAGCCCTTCCGGTTGTAATTGAACGTCCCAATCGAAGACTCGTCCTCGGCGTACGCCGTAATATATCCTAAATCATTAAATTTATCCCAAATTATATCACAGTTATTTATTTTGTTCTTCTTGGGGTCGCACTGATCGTAAACTTGGATCCAAGTCTTTCCAGTCAAAATGGCCATTAAATTAGGAAACGTATTGTCAGCAATCTTGGTGTATCCCCTCAGATTCGCAAAGTCGTGCTCCTCCAGGAACTTGTACGTCTTCGGCATAGTGCGAACCAAGTTCATCTTCGAAATACTATCAATCCCGACGAACAAAACACTCATCGGGGTGGTCGTCCAGTCCTGCTGTAGCTTCTGGTGCACGTGCTCAGGGTTGAGAATCGCGTGCACGTTGGAGTAGATCTCGGAATTGATAGGACTCTTGCACTTGACCAAGACGATGGATTCGGTGACGGTCGTACTGTTTTGGAACGGAACGCAATCTGAAACTCTACACGACGTTAGTTTGGATTTCGTTGTACGACAAGTTTTACTTACTTTAGCGCGTCGTCCGACTTGTTCTCTTCGACGACCCGAGTGACCGCCGACCAGCAGCACGAAATCGTGAACATACTGTATGTTTCCAGGAGGCTTTGGTTGATCCGGAGTGTGATAGACGAGTCTTTCTTTTCTATGTAGGTTAGAGGAGGTCGTTTCGAACAGGGGATGTAGGACTCTCGGTGGTAGTACGGTTTGACTTCTTCGTTGAAAGGGTCGTCGTTCGGGATTCGACATTTTGATGTGTGGATCAAGTACTTTTCGGCGTCACTCGGAGGTTTTGGCTTGGAATCTAGAAATTCGAAATGTCAATGGGTACTTCGCACAGGAGCGATATTTACAATTTAGCACTAGTTCTTCTTCGAAAGTATGGATGTTGAATTGTGTGTAATAGAAAAAAATGATCAGGAAGGTTAGTACCATAAAAGTGAGGAAGAATTTTCGTGCGGTGCCATTTTTTCGGATGGGCCAGTCCTGCAAACAAAACGTGGATTAGTACCACACTTTAATTAACCACGAACGAAAACAACTCAAAGCAGTGACTACTCGTCAAAAGTAGTTCCAGCGATTTAAAACACTTCCAAGGACTTCGACTTTTAAACCACTAAATATTCACAATGCAATGAAATTCGTCTATTACAAAAATACTACAAAAATAAACCCGACTAAATATACACCAGTCTGCTGCGTCTGAACATATTCTTACACTTCCAGTGGTAAAAAAACAAGACTTCCGATCTTTTTTTAGATCGTGTAACTACAACGCACTGACATTTCACTACAAATCCCGTACAATAATACCATGTTCAATTTAAAGCATCGCAATCGCTTAATTCGGTCGATAGAGGTCAATAATGTCACAATAAAAAATTTATAACAATCATAGGAGCGAAGGTTGCATCCCACGTCCACGGAATCGTAAAGACCGACGATTGATGGATGGTTTAACCGAAATGTGGGAGTCAACACTTGATTACAGGTCAAACGGTGGTTACAAAATGTGAAAGTGGTGTGTAGATGCTTAAATTATGATAACAGCTTGTCAAAGCAATTACGTGAAACCAGTAATTAATTGGGTTTGTCGTCAGCCTGTTCGGTGGACAATTGGTAAATATTTGGTCGCAATCGATTGGAAGAGTTATTTCTGAAACCCGTGACGTCACTTCCTGTCGGCGTAATTGGACAGTTTAGTCTGCGAAACAAAGGAAAGAAGCACTAAAAAGCAACGGCATTCATGGTCACGATTTGCATAGTTACCGACTTTGAAGACAATTTGAATAAATAAGTTACGTTTGCAAGGACGTGGGTTCTTTTTTTTTTTTTGATACGCCACTGGTTAAAGCCTAAGTGACAGACTACGATGACTCACCACGTTCTTCTTCCCATACTATTTCCACCCCAATAACTTTTAATTACAACAACAAAATCGATGCGCTTGGATAAACTTGGCAATTTTGAAAGTTCTAAAAAGTGAAGCTAATGACCTAACTCTGAAATCTTAAAGATTGTGTGTTAAAGATAGTGTGGAAGGTTACTCTACATCAAGAAAAATGTAATCGGAGTAAGGTCATTCGTTACTCCCGAATTCGGGAAAAAATTCTTGTCAAAATTTTTGAACTCGTACCAAGTTCTGAAAAGTTTCGAGTCTATGACACCTCAGACGGTTACATAACACCGCACGCTAAAATACTCGGGGTCATGGTCGCCTTTAGACTTGTAAACTCGATCGCGTATGACTCCAGCGTTTAATTTGATTGCTCGAAGATTAACAACATTGCATCCTTCAATTCAATTAAGTCCGAGTGGATGCTTACGCAGGAGCTGCGAACATTCGTTCCAAATTCAAAGTGTAAATATATCGGGATTAAAATAAAACAGAACGTAACTATGTTAATCGAAATATGATGGCGATGACGCGTTTTTGCCGACGAATTTCTAGCAACAAAAAGGGGCGATGGTGATAACTTGATAAGAGTGCAAGAAGATATGGTGTTACACAAAGACATGCGTTATCTGTTCTTGGTATTTGTGGAGGAAAAAATAAATGTATCAGTCGGGTCATCGTTTTTTTCTTTGTGGAAAAATAATTCAAACGTGTGACTCACGATCTCGTGTGACCGTGGAAAACCCAAACAAATGTCAGCTTTGGTTTCAAGATTGTTATGCATTTATTTGCAAACACGACACCCTTGAGTGGAGTATTGTTGCACCAGGTCACGTCTAATTTCAAAGCGTAGCAACTACCGAACCGAAGTACTAAATTCAAAATCGAAAATTTCGGAAATTGATAATAATTCCGTGACAGTCACGATTTCCGCCTCCGTGGGGGCCAACCACAACAAAGGATGTTTTTATTGGCAGTGATTTTTGAATTTTTAAAAATTCTTCAATTTTTGGTTTTTACGTTGATTGATGAAGTTTTCATTCAATTTTTTTGAGGGGGTATTTTAATTTTCAGTCTTCTCATTTTTTCAATTTTTTTCGCTTTGTAATTTTTCGTTTTTTCAAATTTTACTTTTTTCAATATTTGAATATTTCACTTTTTTATTTTTCGATATTTCAATTTTTTAATTTTTGGAAATTTTAATTTCTCACTTTTTCAATTTTTCGATTCCTCGATTCTTAATTTTCCGATTTCAGTTTTACGAGGTTGGATCATTTTCGATTTTCATACAATTTTTCGATTTTGCATTTTAATTTTTCGCTTAACCATGTCCGGATTTTTTTTATTTTCATATTATAATTTTTGGAGTTTTCGGTTTCTGGAGATTTAATTTTTTGATGTCAACTTCGGATTTATTTCAATTTTTTTAAGCTTTACAATTTTTCAGTCTTGGAATTTTTTCATTTTTCAATTTTTCCAATTTTTCACTTTAATTTTTCGCTTTGCAAGTTTTCAATTTTCAATTGTTGGCCATTTTTATTTTTCATTTCTTCAATGTTTCAACTTTTCGCTTTTTCAGTTTTTCTATTTTTAATTTTTCGATTTGCACTTCTTTATCTTACAATTTCTTTCCTTCAATAAACATTTGCTTTTCATTTTTCCTACATGGAATTTTAAAATTTTTCTGTTTCAATTTAATTTTTCTTCTTTATATTTTTTCGATTTTTTAATTTCTTTTTCTCGAAATTTAAATTTTTTGATACATAATACATAATAATAATAATGTTTATTAACGGATACACCTTTACATAGAATTATAAACATACAATTACTTATAAATAAGCAAATATTGATATTATTAATTCGAATGAATTTCTTTCAATTTTCAAATTTTTCATTTTTTCGTTTTTTCAGCCTTAGAATTTTTCGTCTTTCCAATTTTAATTTTTCGCATTGGAATTTTTCATTTTTCATTTCTTCATTTTTCATTTTTTCGATTTTTCAGTTCTTAGATTTTTAATTTTTCGATTTGCAGTTTTTTGATCTTACAATTTCTCTTTCATTCAATAAAAATTTGATTTTCATTTTTTCCATATGGAATTTTAAAATTCTTCTGTTTCATTTAATTTTTCCCCTTTGCAATTTTCCGATTTTTCAACTTTGGATTTTTCAATTTTTCGATTTTTGACTTGGAAATTTTTCAATTTTTCAACTCAATTTTTCCGTTTATATTTTTTTGATTTTTTAATTTTTATATTTTAATTGTTTGATTTTTCAGTTTCTCGAAATGTTAATTTTTTGATATTTCAACTTGGGATTTCTTTCGATTTTCAAATTTTTCAATTTTTCGATTTTTCAGCCTTGGAATTTTTCATCTTTCCAATTTTAATTTTTCGCATTCCAATTTTTCATTTTTCATTTTTTCGATTTTTCAGTACTTCGATTTTTAATTTTTCGATTTGCAGTTTTTTGATGTGACAATTTCTCTTTCATTCAATAAAAATTTTATTTTCATTTTTTCTATATGGAATTTTTGAATTTTTCGATGTTTCATTTCAATTTTGATTTTTCAATTTTTCAATGGCTCGATTTTTAATTTTTCGATTTTGCAGTTCAATTTTTCGTTTTACATTTTTTCGATTTTTTTAATTTTATATTTTAATTTTTCGATTTTTCAGTTTCTCGAGATTTAATTTTTGGATCTGTAAACTTGAGATTTTTTTCAATTTCCAAGTTTTTCATTTTTTCGATTTTTTAGCCTTGGAATTTTTCAATTCTTCAACTTTCCAATATTTCATTTTAATTTTTATCTTTCATTTCTTCAATTTTTCAATTTTTCGATTTTTAATTGTTTGATTTGCAGTTTTTCGATTTTTCAGATTTTACATATTTCATTTTTTTTCAATATTTCTACATTTCACTTTATTTTTCGATTTTTCAGTTTTGAAATTCGTTAATTTTTTTTAATTTTTGGAAATTTCAATTTGTCCCTTTTTCAATTTTTCAATTCCTCGATTCTTAATTGTTCGATTTCAGTTTTCTGATTTTCATACAATTTTTTAGCGACTCCACTTTAATTATTCTACATGGAATTGTCCAAATTTTCGATTTTGCATTGTAATTTTTCGCTTAACAATTTTCCTATTTTTTTTATTTTCATATTTTAATTTTTGGAGTTTTCGTTTTCTGGACATTTAATTTTTTGATATGTCAACTTCGGATTTATTTCAATTTTTTTAAGCTTTTCGTTTTTTCGATTTTTCAGTCTTGGAATTTTTTAATTTTTCAACTTTTTCAATTTTTCATTTTAATTTTTCGCTTTGAATTTTTCAATTTTCAATATTTGTTGGCCATTTTTATTTTTCATTTCTTCAAAGTTTCAACTTTTCGCTTTTTTGGTTCTTCGATTTTTAATTTTTCGATTTGCAGTTTTTTATCTTACAATTTCTCTTTCCTTCAATAAAAGTTTGATTTTCATTTTTTCTATAGAATTTTTAAATTTTTCTATTTCATTTTTTCCCCTTTACAATTTTTCGATTTTTCAACTTTGGAATTTTTCAATTTTTCGATTTTTGACTTGGGAATTTTTCAATTTTTCAGCTCAATTTTTCCCTTTATATTTTTTCGATTTTTTAATTTTTATATGTAATTTAATTGTTTGATTTTTCATTTTCTCGAAATTTAAATTTTTTGATATTTCAACTTGGGATTTCTTTCGATTTTCAAATTTTTAATTTTTTCGATTTTTAATTTTTCGATTTGCAGTTTTTTGATCTTACAATTTCTCTTTCATTCAATAAAAAAATTATTTTCATTTTTTCCATATGAGATTTTTAAATTTTTCGATGTTTCATTTCAATTTTCCGCTTTACAATTTTTCAATTTTTCAATTTTGGAATTTTTCAATGGCTCGATTTTTAATTTTTCGATATGGAATTTCCAATTTTTCGATTTTGCAGTTCGATTTTTCGTTTTACATTTTTCGATTGTTTTTTTTTATATTTTAATTTTTCGATCTTTCAGTCTCTCGAAATTTAATTTTTGAATCTGTAAACTTCAGATTTTTTTCAATTTCCAAGTTTTTCATTTTTTCGATTTTTTATCCTTGGAATTTTTCAATGCTCTCCAATATTTCATTTTAATTTTTATCTTTCATTTCTTCAATTTTTCGATCAATCTTTCGATTTCTTGACCACGGAATTTTTAAATTTTTAATTTACCGATTTAGTTTTTCGAATTTACAAATTTTCGACATCACAATTTTCCGTTCCTTAAATTTTCAGTTTGCAATTCTTTGAGTTTTCACTTTTAACTTATTTAATTTTTCGATGTGTCAACTTTGGAATTTTTTATTTTCAATTTTTCGATTTTTCAGTTTCTCAGTTGTTAATTTTTCGATTTGTAGTGTTTCGATTTTCCAATTTTTCGAATTTACAAATTTTCCATATTACAATTTTTCACTAAGTACCCCAATTTTCGATTTTCAATTTTTTATTTCAATTTTGATTTTCTTAAATTTTTAGTTGTTCGATTTTTAATTTTTGGTTTCTTCAGTTTCGCGTTTAAATTTTTCTGTTTTATAAT